GTGTGTGTGCGTGTGCGTGTGTGTGCGTGTGTCACTGTGTGTGTTTCGGGGGGTTTGGCGTGCGTGCGTGAGTGCGTCCGTGCGTGCTTGCGTGCGTGCGTCGTGCGAGCGTGCGCGCGTGCGTGCGTGCTTTCGTGCGTTTGCTTGCGTGTGTGTGTGTGTATGTGTGTGTTGTGTGTTGTGTGTTGTGTGTTGTGTGTGTTGTGTGTGTGTGTGTGTGTGTTCGTGCATCGCGGCTTTACTTTGCAAGCGGTGTGTCCCTTGCAGCCTGTCCACTGGAGCAGTCACCCTCTGCCCAGCCGCCGACGCAAAGTGTGTGTGTGTGTGTGTGTTGTGTCCGGATTCCGGTGATGCCTAGAACTTGCTCTACCTCGCACTGTGCATCGGAAGCTCCCGTGGATGCACCGACGCCGCGGCCCTGCAGCTGCCACGGCCCTCGCTGCCGCTGCTGGCCGCGCCAGCGCACTCAGTTTATAATTCTTCCGCGTCTGAGTGCCCTCCGCCTCTTCCTGTCCTTCGCGGCCGCCCTGTCTGCTTTTGGTCATCCCTACTGCACGCTGCCAAGTCGTGTATCGGTTACCCCGATCGCCCGCCCACTGGAGCAGCACTTCTGCCTTGCCGCCGACGAAAAGTATGTGTGCTTATGATGTTCTGACTTAGTTGAGCCTTGGTCACCAGAAAGAATTATCCCAGCAAAGCAACCTAACAGCGATGTGTAGGAGCATACCTGGAAGCATTCCCCTTAAGATTCAGATGAACATCCAGTTGTATAATTCTGCTGTTCTCGCAGTCGCAGTCGCACTCGCGATGATAGTCGCAGTGGCAACGGCAGTCACAGTCACAGCCTCAGCCTCAGCCTGCCTCAGCATCAGCCTGCCTCAGCCTCAGCCTCAGCCTGCGTCAGCCTCAGCCTCAGCCTGCTTCAGCCTCAGCCTCAGTCTGCCTTCAGCCTCGGCCTCAGCCTCAGCCTGCCTCAGCCTCAGCCTGCCTCAGCCTCAGCCTCAGCCTCAGCCTGCCTCAGCCTGCCTCAGCCTCAGCCTCAGCCTGCCTCAGCCTCAGCCTCAGCCTCAGCCTCAGCCTCAGCCTCAGCCTGCTTCAGCCTCAGCCTCAGTCTGCCTTCAGCCTCGGCCTCAGCCTCAGCCTCAGCCTCAGCCTCAGCCTCAGCCTCAGCCTCAGCCTCCTCAGCCTCAGCCTGCTCAGCCTCAGCCTCAGCCTCAGCCTCAGCCTCAGCCTCAGCCTCAGCTCAGCCTGCCTCAGCCTCAGCCTCAGCCTGCCTCAGCCTCAGCCTCAGCCTGCTTCAGCCTCAGCCTCAGTCTGCCTTCAGCCTCGGCCTCAGCCTCAGCCTGCCTCAGCCTCAGCCTGCCTCAGCCTCAGCCTCAGCCTCAGCCTGCCTCAGCCTCAGCCTCAGCCTCAGCCTGCCTCAGCCTCAGCCTCAGCCTGCCTCAGCCTCAGCCTCAGCCTCAGCCTGCCTCAGCCTCAGCCTCAGCCTGCTTCAGCCTCAGCCTCAGTCTGCCTTCAGCCTCGGCCTCAGCCTCAGCCTGCCTCAGCCCTCAGCCTCAGCCTCAGCCTCAGCCTCAGCCTCAGCCTCAGCCTCAGCCTCAGCCTCAGCCTCAGCCTCAGCCTCAGCCTCAGCCTCAGCCTCAGCCTCAGCCTCAGCCTGCTTCAGCCTCAGCCTCAGTCTGCCTTCAGCCTCGGCCTCAGCCTCAGCCTGCCTCAGCCTCAGCCTGCATCAGCCTCAGCCTCAGCCTCAGCCTGCCTCAGCATCAGCCTGCCTCAGCCTCAGCCTCAGCCTGCCTCAGCCTCAGCCTCAGCCTGCTTCAGCCTCAGCCTCAGTCTGCCTTCAGCCTCGGCCTCAGCCTCAGCCTGCCTCAGCCTCAGCCTGCATCAGCCTCAGCCTCAGCCTCAGCCTGCCTCAGCATCAGCCTGCCTCAGCCTCAGCCTGCCTCAGCCTCAGCCTCAGCCTGCTTCAGCCTCAGCCTCAGTCTGCCTTCAGCCTCGGCCTCAGCCTCAGCCTCAGCCTCAGCCTCAGCCTCAGCCTCAGCCTGCCTCAGCTCAGCCTGCCTCAGCCTCAGCCTGCCTCAGCCTCAGCCTCAGCCTGCTTCAGCCTCAGCCTCAGTCTGCCTTCAGCCTCAGCCTCAGCCTCAGCCTCAGCCTCAGCCTCAGCCTCAGCCTGCCTCAGCCTCAGCCTGCCTCAGCCTCAGCCTGCCTCAGCCTCAGCCTCAGCCTGCTTCAGCCTCAGCCTCAGTCTGCATTCAGCCTCGGCCTCAGCCTCAGCCTGCCTCAGCCTCAGCCTGCATCAGCCTCAGTCTCAGCCTCAGCCTGCCTCAGCATCAGCCTGCCTCAGTCTCAGCCTCAGCCTGCCTCAGCCTCAGCCTCAGCCTGCCTCAGCCTCAGCCTCAGTCTGCCTTCAGCCTCGGCCTCAGCCTCAGCATCAGCCTGCCTCAGCCTAAGCCTCAGCCTGCCTTTGCCTCAGCCTCAGCCTCAGCCTCAGCCTGCCTCAGCCTCAGCCTCAGCCTGCTTCAGCCTCAGCCTCAGTCTGCATTCAGCCTCGGCCTCAGCCTCAGCCTCAGCCTCAGCATCAGCCTGCATCAGCCTCAGCCTCAGCCTGCCTCAGCATTCAAAACGTGGCCCGGGAATGGAGTTCTGGGAACTCGAAGAACACGAAGTGGCCTACAGTTGGCCCCGAGCATTCAAAATCATGCCCAGGAATGGAGTTCTAGGAACTCGAAGAGCACGAAGTGGCCTACAGTTGGCCCCGGGCATTCAAAATCATGCCCAGGAATGGAATTCTGGGAACTCGAAGACCACGAAGTGGGCTACAGTTGGCTCCGGGCATTCAAAATCATGCCCAGGAATGGAGTTCTGGGACCTCGAAGACCACGAAGTGGCCTACAGTTTTCTCCGGGCATTCAAAATCATGCCCAGGAATGGAGTTCTGGGACCTCGAAGACCACGAAGTGTGTAACTGTTTGCTTAAAACGACTTCCGCGGATTCTCCCCGGCATCCGCCCAGACCCCCTTGGGAAGTCAAGATGCTCTCTTTTGACACTACTAGAAACATATCAGTCTTCGCTGTTAGGTAATTTCGAGCACCAAGAAGGTGCCGAATCTGAAGGGTGTTCACGTGTCGGGCCTTGGGAGGCGATTGCCGTTCGACACTGTTTCGATAGTTTTCTGGGTGCTCGAAATTATGCAGGGATGTGGTCCTGAAGTACGATGGGGACCAGATGACCATTCCAATTCGCAGCGTCCCGAGCCTTTTGAGGCCCCCCGCCCCTCGGAGCGGAGCGACACGCTATCCGTTCGAAAGGCATAGCGTGTCGCCAGGACCTCCGCCGCGATACGCTAAGCAAAAGCTTCCGACCGTAATTGGGAACATCAAACTATGCTTGGAATAAAGAGGTTTGGCTCATATTGTGCGAGAGCGTCATCAGCAAGACTTTGACTGGATTCGTTCCTGGTCTCCTTCTCCCCTTCCCACGCATCGTGCTCTACCTCCCCCTCCTCATCCTCTTGGTCCATGATCTTTGCTCCGACTGGACCATTCATGCCGTACTTCAATGTTGTTGTTGTGAACGCTTGCTTTGCGATCTATTGGGTAACTAACTGCGTCTTGTCTCGTAAGGCCACTTGGATATGCATTCCGAGCTGTTGGTATGTCGTTGCGTGATCAAATTTCGAGGTCGAAACACATTATGACACCTGCTCCACTCTGCACCCTTCGCTACCGTTTCCCGGGCTGGTTCAGCTCGCATTCGCACCAGCCTCTTGGTTCAGCTGATATGCCCGAACATTGGTACAGTTGATCGGTTTGAGGTTTCCCTCAAATGTGTAACCAGCTGCCTGCGGCAAGTTCCACCACCGTGCCAGCCCAGCATTCTGGGTGGCGACGGTTCGAGGGTGCGCGGTAGGCCGTCACGTGTGGTACTTCGTGCCTCCAGGTCTGGGAGAGCTGTGATGCTGATGTTGATGATTGTGATGGTGATGATGACGGTGGGGATGATGATAATGATGATGATGATGCTGATGATGATGATGATGATGATGATGATGATGATGATGATGACGATGATGATGATGATGATGATGATGATGGTGATTATTATGACGATGATGGTGTTGCTGATGGTGGGGTGATGATGAGGAGAAGGAGGTGGATGATGATGGTCAGGGTGACGATGATGATGAGGACGACGACGAGAATTATAGTGAGGATGAGTGCGTATACATATATACATTTATATATATACATATGAGTTTGGTGATGGTGATGATCACGAGGAGGAGGAGGAGGAGGAGGAGGAGGAGGAGGAGGAGGAGGAGAAGGAGGAGGAGGAGGAGTTTGAGGAGGATGAGGACGAGGAAGGCCGTCACATGTGATACCTTTCGTCTTCCCTGATCAAGGAGCTCTCATGGAACCCATTCGGGTCGTCTTGGGTTTGTCTTGGCCTCCAAGGCGGTCTTGCTCGGCCGTACGGTGGGTGTCTGGGGGCAGTCGTTGGGCCGCCTTGGGGCAGTCTTGGGCCATCTTGGGGCACTGTTGGAGGCCTCTTGGACCGCCTTGGGGCCATCGTAGATGCTTCTTGGGCGTCTTGAGCTGATGGAAGCCCGAAGCGACGAGAATGGGGAAATCGTTCAAACATTGAAGAGGGATAACTGATGCTGGTTTCTCCGGACCTTGTTGGAGGTCCCCCTGCGGCCCGTCTTGGCCCTTTTGCAGGCATCGTTGGCCGTCCCGAAGCCATTTTGGACAACCTTTGGGCCATCCTGGGCTGTCTGAGAGGCATCAACATCTTGGTATACTTGGTTGCCTGCATTGGCCATGCAGAATTCCGTGAGTCAATGGGGGGATCTTTTATGAGAGTACAGAGCATTTGGCATTCTTCCACGCCGCGCGGTGCACAAGGCACGGTGGCGGATTTGGTTATTGTTGTTATGTTTGTTAGTTTGTGCGGTTCACATGCTTGAGTTTATCATTGTTTGATGGCGGTGGATGTCAGGAGTAGCCGCTGCAGCTGCCCAGCACCCACCCAGCACCAGGATGCCCCCGACGATCATCGGTCAGTTGTTCGGGCAACTCTGCCACGATGACGCGGGCTAGGATGATAATCGGACGGAGGAAGAGTGGGGCCGCAGAAGGCATAGGAGGGACCTGGTAATTTGGAGAGTGAACGAGAAAGGTAGGAGGCTTAGGTGTCTTTTGGGAAATGTTCTCGAGCCGCCGATTCCCCTTGCGAATCTTGCCTGCTGCCGCTCAGATTCCTTTGACTTGAAGGTCGAATTGTCTGAACAAGGGGTTCGTGCATGAAGCGGACGAGGGGTCAGGAGATAGGGGAGACTTGGAACAGTAAGAGGAAGAAGGATGAGAGGGTGAGGAGGGGGAGCAGGCTAATCAGCAATGCGAGTATTACTTGTGCCGGGGAGAGGAGGAGGAAACGGGCATGTCAAAATACAGAAAGAGCGCGTTCCGTGCTCGCTTGGGGGGGCGCATTGGAACCAGATCCCCCCCCCTTGGATCGAGGGGGGGGAGGGGGTTCCGACCCCCGCCCCCTTCCCGTGACGGAGGGGGGGAGGTTCGACCCCCCCCCCTCCCTCTCCTCTCTCCTCGGGCCGGCGCCTGCGTCGGCGGCGGCTGGCGGCGGCGGCGGGGACGACGATTTCCTTTTCTGGGCCGGCGCCTGCGCCTGCGGCGGCGGGCGGCGGCGGCGGGGAGCGTCGACGAGGACGACGGTGGTGGTGGTGGTGGTGGTGGTGGGTTGTGGTGGTGGTAGTGGCGGTGGTGGTGGTTGTAGTGGTGGTAGTGGTGTGGTTGTTTGTTGTGGTGGTGGTGGTTGTGGTGGTTTGTGGTGGTGATGGTGGTGGTGGTATGGTGGTGGTGTGGTCGTGGTTTGTGCTGGTGGGTGGTGGTGGTGGTGGTGGATTGTGCAGGTGGCAGTTTGGTGGTGGTGCGGTCGTGGTTTGTGGTGTTGGTGGTGGTGGTGGGTCGTGTTGGCGGCGGTGGATTGTAGAGGTGGTGGTGGTGGTGGTGGTGGTGGCGGTGGTGGTGGTGTGGTGGTTTGTGGTGGTGGTGGTGGTGGGTTGTGCTGCTGGTAGTGGTGATGGTTGTGGCGGTGGTGGTGATGGTGGTGTGGTAGATTCTGGTGGTGGTAGTAGTGGTGGGTTTGTGTGGCTGTGGTGGTGATGGTGAGTTGTGGTGGTGGTGGTGGTGGCTGTGGTGGAGGTGGCTGTGGTGGTGGTGGTGGCGGTTGTGTGGTGGGTTGGTGGTGGTGGTTGTGGTGTTGGGTTGGGGCGGCGGTGGTGGTGGTAATGGTGGTAGTGGTGGTGGTAGTGGTGGTCATCGTCGCTGCGTCCCCGCCGTCGCTGGCGCCAGCGCCGGCCCTGCTGGCCGCCGCCAGCGCCTGCGCCGCCTCTGGTCATCGTCCTGCGCCCCCGCTGTCGGCGTTGCTGGCGGCCGCCAGCGCCAGCGCCAGCGCCTGCGCCGAGGCCCCCCCTTGGAGAGAGGGGGGGGTCGGGATGGGGGGGTTTGGGGGGGGAGGGGAGTCTCCTTGGTTTTGATCGATGGCGCCGAGTGTTGGGCGGGGGGGCCCACCCCCCGGTTCGAAACGCGCCGCCGAATGTTCCCATGGCAAGCGTCCGTGAAACGCGCTTTCTCAAAATACGGAACAGGCCCCACAACGAGCTCGAGGTCTGGCCACTGGCACAGCCTTGCGCGTGCCCTGCGTCAAGACGCTGCGCCTTCCAATTGGGAGGTAGTTTTAAAGGCGCCTCTGAGGATCTGTGCTGGCCGTTGCTGTGAGCGATGATGCACTGAACGACACAACCTTGCAGACGGCGTCCTTCCTTACACATGCGCGGGCGCGCACACGCGCACAGGCACACGCGCGCAGGACGGGGGGGCTCGAGGGACGGGAGGATGTCTTGCGTTTGGCTTCGAGGGAGAGTTTCGAGGGGTTGGCCAAATAAGGGAGCAGCAGATGGGACGCCCAGGGGAAGGCAAATGGGAAGATATCAGCTGACAGGGACTGAGGGGGGAGGAGGGAGGACGAGAGCAGGAAATGGAGGAGGAGGAGGAGGAGGACCAGTGTAAACCGAAGACCCATCAACGGTGTTGCCCCAGAGTTTTTTTTTTTTCTTTTTCATAGGTCCCTGCAATATTTTATTTTCACTGCGGGATGTGCCCACATGAAAAATGACCGTCTGGGAATACTCAATCGTGCCAGCACGCAGCTCCTGGGACGTCAGCACCGCGAATCAACGCGATTGTTGACTCCCGACAGTCCTAAATCATACCATTTCACCATATCGCGGGCTTCACACCCGCGAATCCACGTGACTGTTGCGTCCTGGCAATATTAAATCGTGCCAAAACTCCATTCCTGGCATTTCAGCCATGCAAATCCTTGGCGATGGCGTATGTGTTAAGACGAGTGTGCCCGGCGCTATGGTGAGAGCCACAGTTTCAATGGACACCGCCCTTCATCCGTGAAGCGGCTGCAAACATTTAAGATGAATGTGGGCGGCGCCGAGGCGGAAACAACATTTTGAAAACGGATCCGCCTCCACCCGTGAAGTTGTTACACAGTTGTCAGACGAATGTGCGCGGCGCTACGGCGATATCCACATTGTTTGAAATGCCCGCTGTCCATCCATCATCAGCAAAATCGCGAAAAAACACATTTTGAAAACGACCCGCCCTCCATGTTTGAAGCTGTTGCGAACGTTTAAGATGAACGTGCAGACTTTAAGGGAACCATGTTGGGTAACCCCAGGAGAGGTTTATATGGTAGTATCCCGCCGCCGTTTGGACACCGGTGCCGATCTAAAACGACCCGCGCCCTGTATGCCCGGACGATCTGTGCAAGTCATCTACGGGAAAACATTCCCATCTTCGATCATATTTTCATTTCCCGACGATGCATCCCATACTTCTTTGCGTGATGTTTATCCAACGAGGAATGCATTTGTTATGTTGTAAGGGAGCTGGCCTACTCAGGCTGGTTTCCGCCGTGGTTAATTTTGTTTTAACCACCGAGTGCGCCCTGCCTGCGCCGGTTCCACAAACACTTCTCCCAGGAAGCACTCTTGTACGATCTGGTGCCGGTCAACGCTCTTGAGATGCATTCGGAAACACCAATCTGATCTAAGCATCCAGAATTGAGTTTTTACAGTCTTGGACATGTTATTCCATACATTTACAAGCGACGTCAACAGCCAGCAAGGTCTTACAACTTACGCGTTTGGTAACACATTGACTGGTAACGAACCATTCCGACAAGGGATCCTGATCACAGAACACCGACGAACATTCGGCTGCCAACGACGACGGCCCATGCCAATACCAACCCGCGTTCCCTTGCACACCTCGGAGTTATCATTTGCGCACCCATATGGCTTGTTTTTGGAGCCGATGCGGGTTACATGTGCAAGACATGACGACACAAGCACGGAAGGACCGCATTGGTCTCCCTAGGAAAGCGCACCTTTTTTTTATATATGGAGCATTGGAAGGTGAGGCCCGGATCTACGCAACGAGCGGGCGCCTCATTCCACAACAGCAATCTGCTGAGCTCTAGCGCTGCCAAGGCGGCACAGCGCGCCATGGTGCGATTCTGATCCCGAGCGATGTCATCAACTACGGGCTTGAGATTGACGGGACCCGAACGGATCCAGTCACTTATTTCATTGTCGTTTTGAGCATTAGTTCTGGCTCATTCGAGGACGAGAAGTAGTTGACCTCAGGGTTCTATCTTGCTAGCTCCGGCCTTGGGCAGGGTCGGGCTGAGTTCGCAGGACTGACGGGGGGCTGGGAGGGGACTCGCGCCGATCGTCTGCGCGTTCGCAAGTTACCCCCCCTTTTTTCCGCGCAGTGCCACGCGCGCGAAATTTGTTTCTCACTGTGTGGGGGCGCGTTTACGCATGGTCATGTTTTATCGCCTTGCGCGGCGGAACACGATGGACGCGAAGGACGCGCAGGACGCGGCCGCCGCCCCGGTCGGAGGGGAATGGGGGAAGGATCGTTTCCCAAACAGTGTTTGCACCCGCGGGTGGCCCCGGGGGTCAGCGCCTGTCTGGGCGCCGATGTTTCCTGGGTGTCCCGGCCTGCGCGTGCCTGCGCTGAATCGTTTGGGGCCCCCGAGAGCGACGGACGCGTCCCTGGCTCCACAAGCCGTAGCCAGATCGGATCAAGACCCACACGATGTGGACGCGGGGTCCCGTTGTTTGGCACCGCTTCGGTGCGGGGCAGCACGCGCTTGTGGGCCCTGGCGACGAGAACAAATGCCGTGCGGGCCAAGTGCCCCGCGCGCGCGCGGGGCCACGGTCCCCGTTGCGCCCAGACCCCTTGGGCGAGAGGCCGGCGCATTGCCGGCAGCCACTGGACGCGCGACGCGCAGAGAGGCGCAGCCGCTCACGGACGCCTCGAAGGGCGCCGGTGGAACCTGCTGAGCCAGTGCGAGCGCAGGCGAGCGCGCCCGTGGTAGCACGGGCGAGGATTGCATCGGTGGGTGGCAGGGGCGGAGCCCACAAGCTGAGGGCGAGACAGGTATACACGCGGCATGGTGAGCTACGGACAGTCGGGATACAACAAGCAACGTCTGCGCGGGCAACCATATTGCAGGTGGTAGGTGGCCCCGCCCAGCAGCTCCTTGAACGCCTGCGCGCGGGCGGAACGGGCGGCCACCTGGGCACCACGCTGAGGAGATGGGCGCACCGCGCGGCGCTGCGGCACGTCAAGAACACCATGGAATTCATTTCGTGGTATGAAGCGCAGCATGGGCACTGGCCGCGTGGGACACCACTGCCACGGGCGGAAGAACGCCTGATCGAATTCCTGCATTTCATCATTGGCCAGGGCGTTAAGGCCACAGTGCCCACGGCCAAGTTTGGGTCGATTGCGCTTCTGAGTCGTATAGCGGACCTGCAACCAGCATTGTTGCCCATGACGAAACTGTCGGTGCAGGCTGCGGCCGCTGCGCGTAAGCGAGACGGCCGACGGCGAAGGCGGCGCTCGACGGCGCACGCCGCGCGCGAAGTTCGGCTGC